ATTGAAAAATATGATCATTTTATTGTTGGCTGGTGGTGATCTGAAACCATAATGTGCACCTTGTCCACGATTTCTCTGTACATCTTTTTTTATGGCTGTGCTAAAACGTAAAGATTTATATATTTTATAAATCAATGGCAAATCTATTTCAAAATTTGAATCAATCTTTTCTACTTTTCTGCTCTTCGAGCTATTTTCTTTCATCTTTCCTCAATCGTTCCCAAACTTTTATATGTAATTTGCCAGCTATGCTATCAGAATGATTCAATAAAACATTTGTGTTGCAGATTTGAAACCTTCTTCGGTTAGACTAAATTCGTTTCTCTATAAAATTTTCTGTGTCTAGTGAAAATTTTATTCTGAGGGCTATTTTAGCACCAACCTAAGGGACATCAACATTAGAAAAAAAGTATAAAAGTTGCTTCATTACAGGTAAGTAGAAGATAGCGATAAAATCATATATGAATGATTTTATGAATCTCCTGCGGATCGAGTTTTTACATTCAGACCTGACTTCATCAAATAAATTTGCCTGTAGAGAAAGACGGCCAAATTGGCGTAATTCATTTCGTTTATTTGAGTTTTGTATTATCTGTCTTCCTATTTTGACGATTTTACGACGGTCTTTTGATTTTATTAGACCTTGTTAGACTAACGTAAATTAATATCGACCTTTATTTAAAAGGACTAGTTACTTGCTATTAAGCGGTGCTTACCATCATTTGGCTGGATAAAAGTCACTGAGATTTTTATTTAAATCTTTTGATTCATTCTACTTAATCTATAATGAAAAATAAATTTTAATATTGGCGAGTTTTTTTAAGATGAACTCAGAGAGGAGGCAATAATACTTATCTGGGTGGATATGAGATTAATGATTACCACTTGTTATATTTTATCCTTCCTTATATTAGCAACATCAATTCTCAAGATCCTATGACGTCCGCTGATCCTGTTACCACCACCAATAGTCCTAGTCAAACACAAAGCCCGTCCCAATCAGCTCAGGTATCAAAAGATATCCTCCCTTCTCTGCCCCTTCACATGGCGACTGACAACGTGATTCTTGCCACTTTGCAAGCTGAGATAGCCAGATTGGCCAAAGAGAACAAACTTTGGCAGCAGAGAAATGAGGTAAATTTGTATATCCGCCTTTCCTATCGGACATACAAGCATGTTATTTCAGCTTATGTTCCTATTCCTTTCGCTTTTTATTTTCCAATTGTGATCCATGATTACTTCGTTTTTACTACTAGATTTCTTCAATTGTTTTCAAAGCATTATTTTGGACCTGGTGGTGGTGATTGTTTGGTAGATACTATTTCTGTCTGTCTTTGTTAGAGTGGTTGATTACAGACCTATCTCTTTATGCTCTTACTTTACTATTATTTGATTGTATGATGGTCAAAAGATGGCAAGGTGAGCAGGTATTTTTGTTTGCTGATTCTTCTTGCTTTTTGTACTCATTAAATTTATTCAACCCTCTAGTCTCCGTTGTTTTTACCATGTCTTAATATATACTTTCTATATGCAAGCTTATTTATTATCAAGGCTTTCTATTCCGAAATTTTAAATTTTAATATTTGTCCATATTCTGTCTTTTGGGCATTATTCTATGTTTACTTAGGGTATCACAGTATTTTCAATTGCATTGCATGTGTGTCTATGTTATGGCATGGCATCTTTATTATTGCATTTCTGATTACTATCTTTGTTGCATTGCTTGATGTAGGCGTACTTTTATACTAAGCTGTATATTTTAATCACCCCTTGCTACATAAACTATACTTAATCTACTTTTAACACTCGATTATAGTCTTTTTAAGAATACTTCAACCACATTTTGGAGTTAGATGTGCCAGATTGGCTTGGTAAGACAAGACGAATACTTTACTCATTGGCGTGCCCTTTCATATCGAAGTATTGCATACTTTTTTGCCAGTTATGAGCGTAATTGAGTAGGGTTTCGAGACTACCAGTAAATCATTGTAATATATCTCATTAGTTATGAGCGCTTATCCCTTTTTTACGTCTCTTCGCTCGCCTTATCAAATCCTTCTTACAGGACTGGCATAGATACGTATTTTATTTCAAATCGTAAATTGCTCTCGCTTGGCTTTACCTCTCACTTCTTTAGGACTAAGCCCTTCATAATCAAAATGTTGAATAAGATAAATACGCGTTTTATTTTTACTCATAGATCACCTGACCTCGCTTTCTAATCACTTTGCTTGTCTCAAGCATACGCATGCACTTAGCGCACCACTTAATTTCCTGCAGCAGATCCCTTTAGTCGTAGGCAAATAATGAGATATAAGAAAGGGCCACCTTTCGAATAAAGCTTTCGCTATTCTTAATTTCTCCACTTGCATATGCATCGTTGTAGTTTGGGGCACTATGAAGAGGTCTCAAAAAAACCCGCTCAAAAGGGCACATCATATCACAGGGGAATAAGCAAGTAACAAATTGTGAGTGAAGGGTTATTACGAGGATATAGGATAGGTGAATACCCCAGGACAACAGGAGAGATACCATAACTGTTTGGCCGACAATTGGTCAAAGGATATCCCTCACTTGTCTCCGTGACAAGTTATTTTGGGGTGCTAGGTGTGGCAAAGCTGACTGACGATGTCGGCGAAACGTCTGGGAATGTACTAAGTCCACAATCCGACTCCCGAAATTATCATGCATAGTATGGACTCCATTATACTTATCTTTATATATACGAATAAAGTTGGGTACCTAAGACCTCTACTTTTTCCTTTCTTCTTTCTCTATGATAGCTAATTCGTTTTTTAATACAAGTTATTAGATAAATAGGATCATCATTATTTTACATGAATTTCAGAGTTGGTTGTAATTTTGACCTCATATTTGCTAGGACTATTATTTTCCTTATTGCATTTTTTCATAGTAGGTAGTCCTTATTTTATTCAAGATAGATAATCTGATGAATACATTCTCGACTAACCATTATGATATCTTCTCAAGCGACTCAGTAATGATCACTCAAATCCCAATTTATCCTGCCTGAACCATTATCTAGGTATTCTATGATATGAGGAGGAGGACAGGAGCAGCTAGTGAATCTCAAGAATTGTAGATATTT